AACTAGTTTAGAATTTCTTACCTGAAATGTCAACTTATACTACAAAAATTCCCTTATAATTGGTATATTATGCAAAGTTTAAGTTTTATTTAGATTTCTATGATCAATATTTTTATCCATCTTTTTTTACTCCTAGCAATTAATTTCAGTTTTGTTTATGCGGAAGTATTATATATATGGTCTCAAGTTGTTCCAGAAGGCAAGTTAAGTATACGTGCAATAATAGATGATAATGTATGTCCGACAGCCATCGTTGATGGCAAAGAAACAATTATGTTAAAACGTTGTGATGAAGATAATATTGAAAAAGTTTGTGAACTGCTAGTGCAAAAAGATGTTAAAGAGGTCCGCGTTAACAACGTGGAAATCCCTATTTTACCAAAAAAAATAAATAAAATCGCTTTTATTGGTGATACGGGATGTAGAATTAACACGTTGCACCAACAAGAGTGCAATTCTTTAGAAAATTGGCCCTTAAAAAAAAACTTAGATTCAATCGCACTTCACAAACCAAGCTTAATCATTCACGTTGGAGACTATCACTATAGAAGAACAAAATGTAGAGATACACAAAAGTGTGGTAGCGTGCACGGTTATAATGCACAAACTTGGCACGCTGATTGGTTTGAGCCGACAAAAGATATTTCTCAACAATCTCCCTTTCTATTTGTCCGTGGAAATCACGAGGATTGCAATAGAGCTCATAAAGGATGGTTCAGGTATTTAGACTCATATCCATTTTTATCGGAAAAATGCGAAAATTTTGTTCCTGGTTGGTTTTTGGATATTGGACTAATGAAATTTTTTGTGTTTGATTCTTCATCCGGCGAAGATATTTTTATAACTAAAAGCGACGTTGATGCCTTCAGTAAGCAATTTAATAAACTAACGCTAAGTGACTCTGACAAACCTGTATGGTTTCTAACTCACAGGCCATTATGGAGATCTCCAAAAAAAGAATTCTTAACATTAAAAAATCACGGAAATCTTTCTCAAATTGAAGCTTTTGGAGATGATTTTCCCAATAATGTTGCTGCTATAGTTTCTGGCCATATTCATATAGCACAAATTTTATTAATGGATAACGTCCCAGATCAAATTATAGTTGGAAATGGAGGTGCATTACTGCATGCTCAGGACCAAGAGAATATTTACCATAATATAGAATTTAGTTATTCAAATGGTAAGAATTATTTAGCACGTAAAATCAAAAACTTTTTTGGCTTCGGTTTTGCGATACTTGACTTAAATGATCATAAACTTATTTTCTATAACCAAGATAATGATGAAATATATTCTGCTGAGTTAACCAAAGATTTTAAAATCCTAGCTGAGTCTGACCATCATTCTAGATGATTTTTAGTAGACTTTTTGAAAACCTATTTCTGATGGCAATTTTATTATTAAAGTGAT